GCTCCGGAGGAGTTCTCACCTACATCGTCCACATGGGACGACTCGGGAACTCAACTCCTACCCCGGGCAGCTCACCTATCCCCTTATGCCCAGGGGAAGGGTACAAGCCGTTTGACAGCTGATGCTAGCTGTCAGAACGGCTTTTACGCTGAAACAGGCGGGAGGCAGCAAACAGCTGCGTCCGACGAGGTCGCCTGCCGCCGGAAGTCCACCGCAAAGTTGGAATTGATTGATTGAACTTTTTAGTCCCACCCAGTCTGCTGTTACCACCGCAGCCACGCCCACCCAATGGGCCACATCCAGCCAATGGGCCACACCCACCGGCACCCGACGATGCATAAGTGGGTTTTGGGTTGCAGTTTGGGCACTCGATCTCTAAAAGGTTTGCCATCACTGTCCTACATAGTGGCTGTTACAGTCCTTACATTGTATGTTGTAGATGACTCCTGTTTTTTCTTCTTAGATTACTGGGTCTCTTGGTTTACTTAAGATATTTCAAAGGACTTTAATTGATTTGTGTGCTATTGTGATGTGAAGTAACTGTAGTATTCTGTTGGTTGTCTCCAAGATGTTTTTGATATACAGGAGTGTTATCCTTTTCATAGGTTGTGCTGCAACAGGTTGTCTGGTCACAGGCTTTTGGAAAAAAAATGCCTGAGTCTTCAGTCTGTTAGAAAATTTTGTCCAGGTGATCTGCTTCCTCTTACTGGCATACTGGGTAGCTGCAGTGTGCTTGTTCTTATCTAAATATTATTCTTATACTTATCTAAATAATATTCTTATACAACTTCTCTTGAGGGAATTGCTTTGGGGTGTTGCTTTGGTAGAATAGTTGGTTAGTATTGGTAGTGTTTCAAAAAACTGCCCTAGCATAGACGGTTGAAGTGATAGGTTCTTTTACTAAAGTTAAACGGTTGTAGTGAAAGTAAAGCTAGATCTGAATATTCCCGTGCAAATGTGACACTTTCTCCCCTTTTCCCGGCCCTCCCACCCTTGACCAGTCTATCAGTGTCCAAAAAGATGCTTTTATGATGTTTTATTAATGGCTCGGAGCTTGGCATCTCTCAATGTAGTTTCACATTCGGTTCCCAGGCCAGGTGTCCTTGGAGGCTGATTTATTCCAGTTTGGCACCTCTGGTTCTTGTCAACATGCCTCCCCTCCCACTGTTTGTCTTCTCATTCCTAGGCCCATATTTTACTACCCCAAATTCTTTCCCCCTCCCTTACAATTTATGGCAGGATGCCAGCGAAGCAAAGAAGCTGGAGATGGCAGACCTGACAGACTTAGGTTTCTAATTTGCCATCATTTTGTACACTGATGAGGATAGCCAGGAAGGCTAATGTGTTATTATTTTCTTCTTCCCTTATGAATTTTGTTCCTTTGAATGTGTTGTTAATTATCTCATAATTTTGTTAATTATCTCAAAATTATCTCCATAATTTTGTTGTATGGCTATATGTATATTATACATATTATTTGCTCTGTGCTAGATTGAATTATTTTGCCCCTTTAATCTAGCATTCTTTTCTTTTGACTATCAATGTTCACCATAATGACGGGTGAATGTTCCTATCAACTTGGGAAGGTTGAGTCAACTGGGATTGAATTAAAGGCATTCCACACATAGTTCACACCCGATGACCGTAATGGAGTTTGGCCATTAGGCTCATAATTTGTGACAATCATAAAGTGGGTCACCCATGTGACTGACTTGATTTTACAATTTTTGCAGTGGTTATTAGTGAATACTATAGTTGTTAAGTAAGCCGATCGTTTGTTATGGATGAGTTTTGTTGAAAACCAGAAATAAATGCTGGTTTTCAGCAACAACATCATAAAACACAATCATATGACTGTGGGACATTGCAAATGGCCATAAATGTGGGTAGGTTTCCAGGTACTGGAAATGTGGTTATATAAATGTGTGTGTGTGTGGGGGGGTTGGCCATTAGGTTGTAAGTATCCCAGGGGAGATCCAGTTTAACTTAAAATGGTCCCTAAGTGACCAGTCATAAGTCGAGGACTAACTATACAAACAATGAGCTCTTCTATTGCACAGATATCCAAAGACTGCTCTAAATTTGCACTGAAATAATTGAGGACCTAATCCTTGAGGGAAAACTAAAGTTTCGCATCCTCTAAAGTAATTGAAATGCTGCAATGCATCTGTCATGGTTCTGACAGATGAAACTCTTCAAAAAAACTTCGAAGCATTGTTTATCTTAAAGAATCTTTATTTTGAGTAGCATAACATCGGCAGTGCATAATTGAAGCCAAAAACTGAATTCCCCTCCCCTGAGCACATAGTATCAAAGCACAATTCCCTTCTTCAATTGACAGTCATAAATCACATTTCCCAATGAGCTTGAAGTGCAGGCCTCCTCTCCAATTCTCCAGCCCACAAATTCCTTATCAGCTCTGGTTACAATAACCTTGTTTCTCATGCTAGGTCTAGTGTTGTTATGTCTAGCTGGACTCTCGTTCACATCCCCGCTTCCAGCATCATCTAACTCTAAAAGCAAAAGGTAAACAATGGCTACATTTCCCTTTGTTGTCAATGCAAAAATATCTGATGTTAGCAGCGTTGACATCATCATCATCACTTCTATCACTATACAAATATTTAATTCACATAAAACTTTCCTTAGGTATTCAAATGCATTATCTCCAATCTCCAATACTTTTCTTAAAGGATAAACTTGATAAAACTACATAGTACAGTTGTTCTAGTCACTCATGCATTTGTGAAACATATTTGAAAGTAACATAGACAGGCCATCATTCCATCAATCGAATGCTCCATCATTGCTACTTGCCCTTGGTAGCTATGTTCCTATCAAGATTATGTTCAGAAACAGTACTTTAACTGTATGTATATTATTGCTTTCAAATTTGTTAAAGGAACACAGACCTATTTGTATTAAAATGATATTTGAAACAGCTTGCATTGTCTTTGGCATCAGTAAACATTCTAATGGGAAATTATGAATAAGAATTCTGCACTGGAAATTTAGAGTATTGCACATCACAACACTATTTTTATCTAAAACAGTTTCCTATTTACATAATGTGGGATGTAGTTGAAATGCGTGGGACAAAATTGATTGTTTGTGTGAGTGTGTGCTGTAACTTCCCACTCATTTTTATTGTGGTAAAAACAAATGTAGATGATGCCATCTGCTTAACTCAATATTATGATTGAATTCAGTACTGTGACTGGTGATTGAGTCAACAATACACATTTTCTGAAAAATACATACAGTACAAAGAAGCACTTTTGAAGATTCAAAAGCAAAAGATAAAAAGATAAATACTGACTATATACCTATCTCTGGGAAAAGATACTGTAGTTTTATAATAGATGCTTCCAGAGAACACTTTTATTCTATTGATGTTCTGTTGCCTCTAAAAGGATGGTAGTCTTCTAAGTGTAAACCTCCTATGCTTTCTATCTTATTTTTTTATTATTATCCATCTTACTTTAAAAAACCCAGACATATTGTGTTAGTACAACTGTCAAGAACAGCCAGTCATCTGAAAGTACTGATATAAAAGAAATTCACACATGCATTACACTTCATTTGCCCTTTGTCTCTTGTTAAGTGTCTCCACAGCACTTACCTAGATAGATGTATGCTATAATGACCACCTCCGACTTCTCTCTTTTTCTTCACACAGGGTGTTGTGTCATCAGCCCACAGGGGATTACCAGCAGCTCCTAACAATTGGATTTGAGGAACCTTCCCACACCTTAGCTACAGACCTCTTAGTGCAGATGCTAAGTGCTCAGAGTTCTGGTCTTCTTAATCGTGAGTCATCCTGCTGGCTGGGCCCAGGAGAACAGGTGCAGTAAAATGTACATAACCTTCAAGTA